TTTCTCTCTCTCTCTCTCTCTCTCTCTCTCTCTCTCTCTCTCTTTTCACTTTTACCTAGATTATTATTTGGGCGTTGTGAAGATATCTTCATTTGATGTTGTTGATAATATATGTTTGTAAAAAAGAAAAAGAAAACAAAAAAGTCAAGCCACTGGCCATTGTGTGTTACATTAACCAACTATCTAACAAAATGGAAAATTCAAACCCATTTTTGGGTGAATAAAAAAAAGAAGCAAAAACAAAAATGAATAAATAAAATAAGCTTTATTTTTTGGTCATATATACAACAACAATCAATAATGTGGTGTGTGGCAAAAATAATAATATTTTTCAACATTTAAATCACATCAATACCGATACATCACATACAGTATTTTCAACAATTTAGTTATTGAATGTGTGTGTGTGTGTGTGTTAGTAGTGATTTTGTGACAACCTGTATTCATGGTTCCATGATTTATAATTGTAAGGTATAACCAATCACAACCAATCTGTCAATCAAACAAACAAACAAACACACGTACTTAAAACAACCAATTACAATTATTATTATCATCAGCCGGTTTTAGCATTGAACAATTTTTGTTTTTTTTTTCAATATGACAATTTGGATCTTGATCTTTTTCAATGGTTTTCTTTGGTGTGCAATAACTAACATATAATAATAATAACTGAATAGTAAAATATACACACACACGTGTTGATTGAACAGACCTTTTTCTTTCAATGTTATGTTAAGATTTGGAGAGAAACAAAAAACATAAAGGCAAAAAAACTTGCAGTTGAAATGCTTCTGGAACGACCAAACTAAATAAAAAACAAAACAAAACAAAATTTCTATATTTAATAATGAAGATGATGATGATCGATGAACAAAATTTATAAAATTGACAATTTTTAAAAAAAAATTTAAATAAAAATTTCATTATACTGTCGTGGCAAAAAAAAAAAAAAAAAAAAAAGGAAACCAAATGAGAAATTTTCGTTGAAAAAATATGAAAATTGAATTTTGGNGATGAACAAAATTTATAAAATTGACAATTTTTAAAAAAAAATTTAAAAAAAAATTTCATTATACTGTCGTGGCAAAAAAAAAAAAAAAAAAAATAGGAAACCAAATGAGAAATTTTCGTTGAAAAAATATGATAATTGAATTTTGGTGAAACCAAAAATGGTTTTGCTGTTTGCCGTTTTGTTTTGAAAAAAAATTGGAAATATTTTTTCCGGAAAAGTATGTTTCAAATATTCAAAGATGTTTTTTTTGGGATGAACACATTGGAGAAAGAAAGATGTTATTATTAAGTTTTGTAAATAATTGATCCATTTGAATTATTTAAATGTTTGTTTGTTTATAATAACCTTGGCATTCATTTTTTCATTTGACTAATTACAATGACAATAAATTAGATATAAATTAGATGGATGGATATTGTAAATGTAAATGTAAAATAATTGTAAACAACAATAAAAAAATTGATGAATTTGTAATTACAATCAATCAATAAAATGATAATAATAATTTTATGATCTCATTAAAATGAATAGGAAATGAAAAAAACTTTCAATTGTATTGATTTTTTGTTTGTTTGATAATTTCCCATTGTTTTATCCCAATATAATTATTGATGAAAAAAAAGTAGAGAGGGAGAGAGAGAGAGGAAGAGAGAAAAATTCAAATTAGCCAAATTAGTCAAATTACTGTTTCAATCATCATTATAATAATAAATTAATAGTTGACGATTTGTAATGAGATAAAAGAGAAGAAGAAGAAAAAAGTTAGGAAGTTTTTTACTGAAAGAAAATAAAAATGATAATAATAACCCTTTTCTCAATTGAAATCTTTTTTTGGAATTAATGATTATTATTATTATGCAATTCAATCCTTTATTTTCAACAACAACAACAAACAAAAAAAAATGAATAATTTTTTACCCTATCATTTTTTGCAATATAATCCTATTGTTTTAGTTGGCTATGCCTCCTACAAAAAAAAAATTTTTCTTTAAAAATCATCAATTTTCCTCTGTAATTTGTTTAATGTCCGTTTCCGAAATGAAAAAATAGTTAGAATACAACCGAAAAGAGAATACAACAGAAAAATCACCTACACATTTGGAAATTCTGTAAAAGGAAGTTACTGGAAAATATTTTTACATCAATCATTTTGGTAATTCAATGTGAACACACACACACACAAAAATTGTTTCGAATATCATTGTCAAATGATATTCATCAACTAACAAAAAAAAAAAAAAAAAAAATCCCATATGGATTATTCGTATAATTTTCTTAATACCCTAATCAAGGCCATTAATTGTTTTCAAAAAAAAAATCAAATTAAATATATGTAAAAAAGATAATGATAATGTTGTTGATGTAATATTATGTCAGTTATGATTATCATCATGGTCATATTACTATCATTATTGATTGATTGTTTGCTCATCAATTGTCATAGAAAGGAAAAATGATGATGATGATGATGATGATGATGTATAATTTGCATATTTTAAACACAACATACATATGCTGTCGATGTAAAATTATTTATTAAATTTGAATTTAATCAAAAAACAAAATGAAAATGAAAATTTGTCGCGGTTTGATGAATTCTACCTTGTTGTTGTTGTTGTTGTTAAAATAGACAAAATACCTACCACAAACAAACCAACCAACTAAAAAAAACTAATCGTTATCCCAAAACCAAAAACCTTCGGTTTCATTTTGTTTTGTTTTTTTCGTGTTTTTATCATTCAATCTGAACAAATCAAAATTTTCTGATCCAATTTTCAATTCAATCATCCATTCATTTTATTTTCAAGGAAATCTATTGAACTACCAATGACTAATATTGGATTTTTTTTTATTTGAAAAATTTTTAAAAAATTTTCTTTGAAAATAACTCTTCAGGAAGTTATCAATTTATTTAGTTTGTTTGTTTTCAACAAAAAAAATGGCGGTCACAATTTTTTTTTTTGTCACCATGATAATGATCTATTAGAGGTAGTAGAAAGAAGAAAAAACATTGAAAAAAATGACAATTTCAGGTTCATTGACTTGTACTTGAATGTCCATTTTTGTTTTTCAATTTTTTGTTTTGTTTTGTTTTTGTTTTGTTTCTTGTAAAAATTCTTACACTTCAAATTGAATGTCAGATTTTGTTGAAAAGAGCTGTCAATTTCTTTTTGTTCAGTCGACTAATGAATATCGTCACCAAATTCAAATTGACAAACAAAACAAAACAAAACAAAACACTTGACAACTATAGATTCATATCCAATTCAAATAAAGCAATCAATCAATCAATCAAATCAGTCAAATACAAAATGATGTTTTTTTTAATGGGAAAAATTGAGATTTTGGTTTTTTATTTTAAAATCAAAAAATCAAAATTGAAATCATATTCTTATTACAGGCGAAAAAAAGGCAAACAAAAATTAAAAAAAAAATTTTGGTCTGTGAAATTTAACAACAAAAAAAATTCTGAAAAAATGATAATGATGATTATGAGATTCATTAAAGAAAATTTGATTGATTGATTGATTGATTAATACTCAATTTTTTGTTGTGTATTATCAAATTGTTGTTGTTTTTGTTGTTGAATCATTCGAAATGATTGTCCTTGTGAACCAGTATTATATCTACTTGGACTTTGTTGTGGTCGTGCACGTAATCCACTTGTTGATGGATTATATTTGGAACTTTGTGGTCGACTCATTGGTGCACGTAATCCACTTGTTGATGGACTATATCTTGGACCTTGTGGTCGATTCATTGGTGCATGTAATCCACTGGTTGATGGACTATATCTTGGCGCTTGCATTGGTCTTACTGACATTGGCATTGGTCTTAATATCATTTGAACTGGTTGAGACATTAATTCAACATCTAATCCACCAACTGATGGTGGTATTTCATGTCGACCAGCTTGACCACGTCCTCTACCGCGTGGTCTGGATGGTTTTTGTGGCTGAATTTGTAAGTTACCACTTTCGACTTCCATATCGCTATCACTTTTCATTTGTGATGTTCCTGGACCAAATCCTGAAGGACCACTTGATCCTGAAACGCTGAATGATGGTCCAGTTGGTCCATTTGAACTGAATGATGGTCCAGTTGGTCCTTCAGCTTGAAATGAAGGTCCAGTTGGTCCAGTTGCAGTAAAAGATGGTCCAGTTGGCCCAGTTGCAGTGAAAGACGGTCCCGTTGGTCCAGTTGCTGTGAAAGATGGTCCAGTTGGTCCAGTTGCAGTGAATGATGGTCCAGTTGGTCCAGTTGCACTGAATGATGGTCCGGTTGGTCCTTCAGCTTGAAATGACGGTCCGGTTGGTCCAGTTGCACTAAATGATGGACCGGTCGGTCCAGTTGCGCTGAAGGATGGCCCAGTTGGCCCTTCAGCTTGAAATGATGGTCCAGTTGATCCTTCCGATTGATATGATGGTCCGACTGATCCTTCAACTTCTGAAGATGTGCCAGGAGAACCAGATTCAATGGATGAAGAACCTGATGGTCCTGCTGAATTATATGAAGGCCCTTTTTGTTTTGAAGAATATGATGGACCTGATGGTCCTCTTAATCCTGCTGATGGTCCAGCTGGTCCTGCAGCATTATAAGATGGTCCTGTTGGACCAGATGCGCTAAATGAAGGTCCAGTTGGCCCAGCAGCATTATATGATGGTCCTGTTGGACCAGATGCACTGAATGAAGGTCCAGTTGGTCCATTTGAACTGAATGATGGTCCAGTTGGTCCGGAAGCGCTGAATGATGGTCCAGTTGGTCCTGAAGCGCTAAATGAAGGTCCAGTTGGTCCATTTGAACTGAATGAAGGTCCAGTTGGTCCAGCAGCATTAAATGATGGTCCAGTTGGACCAGATGCACTGTATGATGGGCCTCTTGGACCAGCGCCTGAGAAAGATGGTCCTTTTGGTCCAGATGCACTAAATGATGGACCATTTGGTCCACGTAATGATGCAGCTTGTCCACCTTGTTGTGATGGTTCAGCACCAGCTTTTCCTTTGTTTTATGAATAAGATAATGAAGCGAAAACTTTATTTATAAGAAAAAAAAACGAACATACCTAATTCTTCATTAACTGAATAGAATTGTCTAGAACGACTACAATCAACTGCATGCCAATAATCACAAGCAAGTATAGCTTGATTAAAAACAGTACCAACACCGCAAAGAAAACTTTCTTTACGTCCTTGAAAACAAACATGATAAGCTTGACATTGTGTTTGTTCATCAGCATACATTCCCGGTTCATATGGAACACCATTACAACTGAATCCAGTATTTGGAATTTTTTCATAATTAGGAAAATCTACACCAGGTGTACCTTGAACACCACCATATGATGGTGGTTCAGAATCAACAGTATTATCATTATCACCTTGCCAATATTGACCAGATTGTTGTTTTTGTCCAGGATATCTTGTATTAACCATATTTGGTCTAGCAACATTATAACGTGCTGGCATTGGACGTATATTATTTTGTCGTACACCACCAGCTAAACCTGATTGTGATATATCGCCACCACCACCACCACCTCTATAATATTTTGGACCTTTAAGCCCTTGTCGACGTGTCTATATCATATATCATTACCGCGGGAAAAACAAAACAATTTTAAAAAATCAAGAAAAAATCGATTTTTCATCAATTTTATCAAACAAATTAACATACCCGACTATTTGACCATTCATATTCATTATAATTACGATAATTTGTGGCAGTAATTATAATCGATACAATCGATAATATGATTAACAATTGAATCGATAAAAATGATGAAAAATACATTTTGAAATGAATGAATGAATGAATGAAAAACAATCACAATAATGTAAAAAATGACTAAACTAAAATGATTCTTCGTTTGTTCTGATGATGTTATTTATCACCGAAAATTGTTTCAATATTGAAAAAAACAATCAAATCAAATCGAATGAAATCTGATTGCCATTTTTATAATGATGCAAAAAAAAACTACAAAATAATTTTTTTTTGTTCATCCCTCCCCATTGCAATTGATCAACACCCATATGATTATGTGTTGATCATCGATGAAGATGAAGAAGATGATGATGAAGAATGCGTGGTATGCATGGTGTATTAAGAAATAATAAGAAAATTTTCTTTTTTATTCAGGAAAAAAAGCAGAAAAAATGGAAGAAGCAAAGAAGCATTTGCTATACGAATTTTTCATCACAAAAAGATTCATCGAAAATCAAACGCCTACTTGTAAAATATTTGCCAAAAAAAAGAAGATGTTCTCTGTATGTTTTTTTAACTCTTTTTTTTCTCTTATGAAAATTTTGAGGAGAAAAAAAACCAAAAATTCTGTAAAATTGAATGAAGAAAAACAACAACAACAAAAAATATTCTTGAGAACATCATGTCCAGTGGATTATTATTTCTTTCTTTCCATGTTTTTTTTTTCGTTTGTAAGCTGATCAATCATTATCATTGTTGGAAAAATTGATTATGATGAGCAAAACAATCGCCAATGAAAGAAGAAGAAAGGAAAATACGCAACAACCAAGAACAAAACATAGTGAACATCTTTTGTTTCAAAGAAATAAAAATTACAGAAAAATTACAGAAAAAAAGAATATATTTTTAGCCTTGAATTTTTGTTGTTGAAATTTTTCAAAAATATTTTTTTCAGTTGTTTTTGGCTCGTTCGTTTCAATATTTTGGAATGATGATGATGATTTCCGACAATGGTCGAATGATGATAATGATGATCATTATCAACATTCGTAAATGATGATTATTTTTTGAAGTTTGAAAAACAATTACAAAGCAGAGAAGCAAAAAATCGATAAAAAAAATACAGGGGTATTTTGGCTGAAGAATTTCAAAATTTCAAAATTTCAAAATTTCAAATTTTTTTTCTTCTTGTAAAATTAGGCGTGTGTAAATGCCAGGCCCATTTTTTTTCGCAACTGGATTTTCCCTTCATTATCAACAACAACTTTAAAACAAAACATTGAAAAATTTTGTTGATCATTGATCATTGATGATCATCATTGACCGTGAAAAATTTCAAAATAAAGTAAAAGGCAAAAGCAAAATTCCTTCATTCATTTGATCGCCCACGATTCATATTACACATTTGTTTGTTTGTTTGTTTTTTACCCATCAAATTCAATTGTGAAACAAAACCAAAAACAGACAAAAATAAATAAATCTTACAGACTTTGAATCTGATTTTGAAAAAAATTGAATCATATTACACACACACACACACAAAAACTAAAACAAACTTGAAATTACCTTTTGAGAAATGATAATGAAATATGAAAAAAAACAGAGGATAAACCACAAATATTGCAATTTCCGATGGACATATCATTGATGAATTTTTTTTTTGAATTAATTAAAAAAAAATACAAACATTTAAGGTGTTAATGAAAAGAAGAAAAAAAACCCAAATAAATGACGCCTACAAGCAAAACAAAAAAGTAGTAAGATTGATTTCATTCATTCATTCATTATGGTAAGAATTTTTCAATGAAATTTTTTTGTTTGTTTTGTTTTTTTTCCAATCAACCAATTTTGACCATTTTCATTTGATTCACCAAACATGATTATATTTTGGCTTGAATGAAAATATGAAAAAATCCATATTTAAAATGTACATTATATTTTTTTTTTTGGTTGGGTTTTTCTCATAGAAATTCAGCAATGAATCGAATGAATCGACTGGAAAAAAAAATTGTCTATAATAACAAACAATCAAATGATGATGATGATAATAGGGGGGAAAAAAGATGGAAAAATAATAATAATAATCATTTTGTCAGTGCACAAAACACAACTACCCTTAACCGTGATTATATGATTATTTTGATGATGATGATGATGTTTTCCAGTGTTTTTTTTTTTGTTGTTTTTTTCATTATAAAATGATTTTTTGTTGCCTGTCAAGAAACAAGAAACAAAGAAGTTGTAAAAGTTGAAATGAATGTAATCTTTGAAAATAATAATGATAATAATTTCCAAAGAATTACTTATTTTATAAAATATTTACAACCAAAAAAATAAAAAAAAAAAATCTAATTTTCATGTCAATCATGCCCTTGTGTAGAACGACATGTTTAAAACTTATGTTTTACAACTTGTTTTTGGAACAATATTATTATCATTATTATGGAGGATATTTGGAAAAAACAAAAAACTACTGGATAATCGATATATTGCCAATTTGATAATGAAAATGATGATAATAATGTTTTTCCAATGATAATCATCATCAAAATGATTGTATAATGTATTTTTTTTCATCATTTTATCACGAATTTTTTTTACAGAAAATCACCATATACTAATGGGACATTTACCTTGGAAGAAAAAGATGATGATATTAATGATCGATCGATTGATTGATAATCAATTTGTTATTCATAAAAAAAGGAATAATGTTGGATAAGGATTAAATCATCATCGTCATTTTTTCATCGTAAATCCTTTCATAATTAATTATTGAATATTTTTTTTTTTTTTTTTTTGCAGAAAATAATCAAGAAAAGAAAGTTTTACGTCGAAGGCCGATAAAATTTTTGTTTTCCTATTTTCACTCAACCGATATTAATCAAGTCACAATAGTCATATTGAATGTGTGTTTTTTTTTTAAAATGAAATTCTATTTTTGTTTTCTTCTTCATTGTCGAACGATAAAAATTGTTTTTTTTTTTGGTTTTTAATGTGTGTATCTTTGGGTTGTAAAAAACAGAATATATTTTTTTATAAGTAAATTGAAAATATAATAAAAATTATAATTATAATTATAATAAACATTGTTATAATAATTGTTGTTTCTTTTTTTTTTTGTTTAGAAAATTAATAAATCAATTAATCAAATCTACCAACTGTTGCTGGTAATGGTGGTAATACACCAATACGTCCATTAAGATAATAATAACTTGGTGATGCTGGACAATTAACTAGATACCACCAATCACATGTCATTACTTTTTGATGAAATAATGTACCATTTGGACAAAGAAAACTATCCATACGACCATCACGTTGACATATATGAAATACTTGACAACTAGCTGCTACATCAGCATAATAACCAATTTTATATGGTTGAAGTTCACATCTAAATCCAGTATATGGCACCGTATTGTATCCAGGATAATCGATTCTTATATAGCCAGGAAATCCAGGAAATGTTGAATTTCGTACGCCTGGATAAAGTGTTAATGCTGATAACAAACGTCCAGGAAATCTTGCTGGATATGCACTGGCTGGTGTTCCAAGTGTAGGTACTGGTGGATATGTTCCTGTACGATTTCCGATCGGTGATATATATGATGGTGGCAATGGAGCTGGTCTTATACCTAATCCTGATGCACTACCTGATCCACCACCGCCGTATTGACCACTTGGACTACCAGAACCTCCTCCACTTGGGCTATATGAACCTCCACCTGATCCACCATCAGCATATGGTGCTCCCGAACCTGCACTACTGCCCGGGCCAGATCCACCACCACTACCACCACCGCCAGGTCGATTTCCACTTCCCGTATTACCACCATCTGAATCACCACTTGGTCTACCACTACCATCATCTGATGAACCAGGACCATATCCACTAGAACCACTACCACCACCCCCACTAGGTCGTGCTCCTGGTATACCTTGACCTGTATGACCAGGAAACAAATGTGGATAAAGACGACTAATTTTGTTTAGATAATCATCAGCTGGACTTCCAGAACCACCACCAGCACCACCACCTGGAGAACTGCTAACACCACCACCACCACCTGATTGTCCTGCATTACTGCCACCTGATCCTTGATCTTGATCAGAACCAGGTGTTGATCCAATATAAGATGGACGAAATGGTCGTATACGTTCACCAAATTGTTTACTTTTAGTAATAATAAATTTCATTAAATGAAAAATTAAAAAAATCTTTAGATCAGTTTGTTAATTATAAATTTACCTTGGATCATATGGAAGAATTTTATTCAAATCTTCTTTAAGTTGTTCATCAAATCGTACACCTAAATTTCCTCCATCAATTCCACCATGTTTTTGATCAATATCTTTAATCTGTTCGATAATATGATCGGGATTTATGGTACCAGGATGATTGCCACCACTCATACCACCACCAGTACCAGCACCTCCTGTTGTTGGTATAAGAACATTGTTTCCGGAAGGACGACCACCACCACTAGCGCCGCCGCCTCCGCCACTATTTTGTTGTCGTCGATCTGAATCAATTTTGGCTTTCATTTTATTAAGATAATCCAAAATACTAAAATCTTTATCACCACTTTGTATTGCAGCTTTTAATGCTGCTTTTGTTGCAAATAATTGTTGTTGATAATCGGACATAGTTTTCATATCCGAATCATGACCACCACTATTTGATTGTTTTGTTGTTGTTGTTAATGGATGTTCAGATATTAAACCACCTTGAGTTAAACGTAATATTTCTCTTGGAACATCACGACCTTGATGATATTCACGTAAAAAAAATGCTTTCGGTTTTGCTGCATTAGGATCTGTACGTAAACGATTTTCATAACGAAGACGACTTAATTCATAACCACGTTGATAATGATAATTTTGGCCACGAAATACTTCACGTTTCAACTTAAAAAAATAAAATAAAATTAAAAAAAAAAACAAAAATTACAACCCAAAAAAATCAATAATAATTTCACACTTACTCTTGATGTAGAATTCAACATTTTATCATCATCATCATCATCATCATCATTATCATTATAATAATCATTATCATCAAATTCATTATTATCAATAACATTGTTACCATCATTATCATTATCATTATCATTCAAATTATTTTCATTGATCAATGTATTTCCTCCATCATTATTATTAACAACAATAAAATTTTGATCATCATCAACATCATTTTGATAATTTAATTCTGGTTCATATTTTATTGGTTGTAAATCATTTACAACATTTAATAATGTACTTTTTGTTTTTAATATTGAATTATCAATAGTTTCTGTATTTGGTTTTATATTCGATGATGATGATGATGAATTGATCAATGATGATTGATCATCAGCTACGATTGATGGATATTCAATTTCAAATACTTGTGCTGCTTGTGGTTGCCATATTTCATTGAATTCTAGAGATTTTTGTTTTGTTGGAAAAAAAGAAAAATTCAACAAAATTAAGGAAAATTGTAAAAAAAAAAGATTTTCGAAAAAGCAACAAAAAATGGTTCTGGTCATCATCAAAATAAAAACAGAGAATGTTTGATTCAGTGAAAACATTCTCTTTGTTTGATTTAGGAAATTGTAATTATCCCTGCACTGAAAAAAAGTATTTAGTTGCCTGACCAGAAAACCATTTTTGTTATTTTTTATTTTTATTTTTTTTAAAGATTAAAAATAACATTTATAAATTTTACCATTAGCATAAACAATATTATTATTAAATGTTGATAATAATGTTGTAATAATCATTAAAAAATGAATAATAAAAATTTTAATTGAAAACATTGTTGATTTATGATAAAATAATGGCCATTTAAATTTTGAATTAAAACCTGTTGAACATAATGATAATGATGGATTGGTTGTAAACAACATTAATAATGATAATGATGATTGACAGTTACGAAATGAATGATGAATTTTTGTTGTTTTTTGTTGTTGTTGATAATTGTTGTTGTTGTTATCGTTTGTAAATTTTTGATTCAAATTATTCATCACTGGTCATTTGAATAACAACCGGAAAAACTTCAAAAAACCAGAATCGAAAATTCTACTGATATTGGATTCTGTTGCACTCAAGTGATTAAACCAGTAATGAACAAGTAGAATATATTCAAACAACAGAAAAACTGAAAAAAAATTATTCCAAATGACTTGTAAGCTAGTCATAGATAAAATGAAATGAAAATCATTTGTTTCAGGAACGTTTATACTCATCATATACTCATGATGATAGATGAGAAACAGAAAAACAACAAAAGAACAATGTTGACAAATGTTGAAAGCAAACAAAATAGAACAGAAAACAAAAAAATATTTTTGTTTTATTCCCATGGACCAAATTGATGAAATTCTTGCAATCAACAATAACAACAACAACTTCTCTCTCTTCTTGTAGCAAAATATCAATTCAGAATTCAGTTATTGAATAAGAAGAGTTTCTTTTGGAAAAAAAATGAATGAATGAGAGAAATCTGATTATTATTTTTAGGAACATTGATGACATTCATCCATTTTTAGAATATATTTTATATGGAAATTTTGCACGTGTTACACACAGTGCGTGTTGAATTTTTCTGAACAAAACAAAACAATATCCAATTCGATTCGGGTTTTTTTCCATATAAATCTACTAAACATGCAAACACATACAAGCGAAGGGGGGGGACAAAAGAAAAACATTTTTATTTAACACGTAACTTTCTCAATGAAACATGTGGACAAAAGTAAAATTATTATCATCATTTTGTTTTTTGTTTTGGGAATCTCATCATTCAATGATAATGATGAGAATAATAATAATGGTAATGATACATTCATCAAACGAAGCAATAACCTTTTTCTATTTTCATTGTAAAAAAAAATTTAGCGTGATTTAAAGCCATTTTTATTCTCTCTCTGTATGTGTGTGTGTGTTTCTGTTTTTAGTAATGAAAAAACAAATTTATTTATAAAAAAAAATTCTGTTGAAATTTTTATAAATAATAATAATAATGATTATTTAACTTGAATAGGATTTCTTGTTATAATTATAATAAGTTGTGTATGTATGTGCTACTGTGTGTTTCTCTCTCTCTCTCTCTCTCTCTCTCTCTCTCTCTCTCTCTCTGTCTGAAAAGATGATTTAATTAATTAATTTGTTGTTGTTGTTT